GGCAGATATTCCCTTGTCCACCTCTGCCAAAATTCATTTGCGAGAAGGCGAACGTGCTTCCATCTGGCTTTGAATCGATCTGACTCATCGAATAAATCTGGGGATGAAGACGGGTTTCGGCGCAATAGAAGGATATAGTTCGGCGTCAGTGCTTCCAAATCCTTTGGATCATCAGAGACCGGCGTGATTGGCCTGTCATTCAAAATCTTCTCTACTTCAATGAGGAATGTTCTCAGGGTTTCTTCGTCTACGAGGCGTTCTCCCACCATAGAATGAAGGATCCTTCTGATAGACCGTATAAGTCTCTCCCATACGCCGCCTTGGTGACTGGCCGCGGGTGGGTTAAATTTCCACTCAATTCCTCCTGGTCAACTTCAACTGAATCTTCTCCTGATCCCACACTTTTAAAGCGTTGACGACGTCCAATTCAGCTCCTCTAAAATTAGTACCGTTGTCACTATAGATAATACCTGGGGGGCCTCTTCTACCAACGAAGCGCAAAACGGCATTGATAAAACTGTCAGTGGAGAGGTTGTTAACTAACTCTATGTGAACTGCTCGATATCTTAGGCAAGTGAAGATGCAGCCGTAACGTTTGTTCAGAGAAGGGTCTCTCCTCAATCTTGTGTTAGGTCCTATCTTCACGTAAAGGGGCCCGAAGTAATCAACCCAACTGCAGCAAATGGATATACGAGCCTGTGACTATCCGAAGACACTCTAACAACTGGAAGTGGTGCTGTCACTTGTTCTCCTAACTTAGCGTTCTGACGTTTGCACACATGGCACTTGCCAAGAACTTGCTTTATCGTGGAAACTGCATTCACGATCCAATAGCGCTGCCTAATTTCGGCCAGAACTTGATAGGTTCCTACGTGTCCATTCAAGTGATGATAGTGGCGAATTATCAACTCAGACACGGGGTGCTTTGCTGGCAGTATCATCGGGTGCTTGGCATCATATGGCAAACTCGAGTGATTCAATCTTCCGCCGACACGTATGATTCCTTCGTCTTCGAATGGCTTAAGTCTGGCTAGTCTGCCTTTGATGACTGTTTCACTTTTCTCATCAGCAAATGACTGCTCCTGGACGAACTTCACGATTTTCTTCTCCGCTTTGTCCACATCATGGATCGATAAGGTTTTAGGACTATACTTCACACTTCTATCTTTGTCGTTCTGGCACTGGGACTGCATCGGTCTGTTGAAGGCTCTACATAACCACCCAACTATTCTTCTCAGTCGATCCCACGACGAATATCGTGGGAACAAAATGCTCCAGAAATCCGCATGAACTGTGGATGCTCCAACAGTGACTCTCCCCCTTTTCACTCCTTCGTCTGTATCTAGGAGGTCTCCCAATTCCTCTGGAGGCTGCGGGGGCCAATCTTCAACTTCTCTCCACAAGAATTCTGGACCACGGCGCCACCTTTCCAGTTTTTCCAGTCTCCGAGGCCTTGATCCCTCGGGAAGCATAATCAGGATTGAGCTCTGATCGTACATGCCGCCACTGCCCTGGATCTGATTCTTGACGTATGACAGCTACCCGGTTTGCGACGAAGGTTACAAATCTTCGTACTTCATTGGCAATGTACTTGAGAACTATCATAGAGTCAGTCCAGTAAGTCACACTGTTAATCTTCAGTCTTCCTTCTAACTCTCTCGTTATGACCTTGTTGACTTTCGTTGCTAGAATAACCACTGTCAACTCCAGCTTTGGTACTGTTACAGCACTTTTCAAGGGTTTCACGCGAGACTTCCCCATTACGAAACAGCAATGAATTTGCCCTCGACTGTTAACAAGACGTAAATAAGAGGCTGCCCCATAACCATGCTCTTGGGATGCGTCGGCGAAATGATGAAGCTCTACATGTTTCACTTCACCGAAGTCCTTTGGTTTAAAACATCGAGGAATACTGAATCCTTGCAAGCTCAGAAGCCCTTCTCTCCAACTCTTCCAACGTTCACACAATTCTCTTGGGAGCTTCTCATTCCAATCCAACTTTAGTTTGCACAATTCCTGATTCATTTCTCTTCCAGGTAAGAGTAGGGGGCTGGCGAATCCGAGCGGGTCATACACAGTTGCAATAGATGATAAGACACCTTACCGATTCTCTGGACGCTCCTTGTCATTCACAACAAAGTCAATGGTGTCATGTTCAACATTCCAGTGGATTCCTAGTGCTCTATCTATAGGCAAACTTTCTGATTTCATATCTAAACTCTTAATGGTGGGTGCTCTTTCCTCCACCGGGAACGCTGACAACACGCTGCGAGAATTGGAAATCCATTTGGTCAATTCAAAGCCTCCTCTCGCAAGTAACTCCTGTAGCTGCTTACTGACTTGTACTGCGCGTTCTGAATCAGCAAAGGATTTAGGCAAGTCATCTACATAGGAATCCTTAAGCACGGCGTCAACTGCCTCTTGGGAGAAGTCTTTCTCATTATCCTTAGCCGTCTTTCTTAGGGCGTATCCTGCTACGCTCGGCGAGGACTTTGCTCCAAAAATGTGCACGAGCATTTGGTAAGTCTTCGGTCCCTTTGACAGGTCACCATTCGGCCACCATAAATAACACAACGCTACAAAACTAAGGTCGCTGACTGATCCTTAAGTTCCTGTGCTTTACGGTCCTCAACAGACATGCCTTCCTCAGCATTAGCATCAGCTTCAACAAATTCCTCATAATACATGCGCTCTAGCTGAACGCTTAAGCTATCTTGGCCGGTGCGAGTAAAGTTTATGTGAACACGGTCCTTAACAGTTTCTCCAATCGGGCCGTGGACTGTCCACCCAAGGGGCGTCCTCACTGCAACAGGTTCGCCTTGATCTCCTTCTTTCCGATCTAACTGCTTGTCAATCAGGTCTGGGCGATCGTTTCCTATCAAAATTGTCACTTTCTTATCTCCTGTTTCGGGTAAGCTAACGTCACAAAGATGAGGCCAACGCTTAATATCCTCGTTTGTGGCCATTTGTCGTGCTGAAACGGGAAGATTGCTTGTAGTCAAGACGTTTTCGAGTCGGAACTTTGCATCTCCTTCTAACGATTCAATTTCTAACTGGACTTCATGACCATGTCTTAGCTCCCCGTCCGCACAGTTGGTGGTGGTCATAGTATAGCTGATTGGCTTCATATCCGTTACACCTATTTCACGCGCCAAACTATCTAGACAGAGCGAGGCGTCTGAACCGCTGTCTAGGAAAGCGTGCGTTATGATCTCTCTGGCGCCTCCCGGACATCTAATCTTGACTGGAACTACCTTAAAGCATACTCTGGTTCTGCCCGCTTCGAGCGCAGTAACCGTCACCAGATCCTGTTCCCTTGCACTTGCCATCGAAGGGCTGCTATCCTTCGTGTTGGGCGCTTGCACATTGCTTCTGTTCGCTGAACCTTCCACCGCATTACTGCTGGGATTTCTAGGGTTCTTTTCATCAACGCTCTCCGACGGGAAATGTAGCAGGTAGTGGTGATCCTTGCCGCAACCTGATATTAGGCAGGTGAATCCCCTATCACATTGTTTCGCAGTATGTCCTTGGTCAAGACAAAGCTTACAAAGTCCACGTTGACGAACAGTCTTTAGACGGTCATTCAATGAGGCACTTCCAAACTTTCGGCACCTCCAAACATTGTGAGGTCCGGAACACTGCGCACACTTCCAAGGGGGCCTTGGTGATGTTTTCTGGCTAAGGCAATTCTGGTCAGTTTGAGTCGCAAGGGTAGTAAACTTGGGAGGCGGATCCTTTGTCTTGTTTAGTTCCCTTTTTTCTCGGTTACCATGAGAAGAGGACCCTAATTCTTGCCCGTATCTATTGTTTATACGATCTGCAACTCTTCGAACAAATTCAACAAAGTCTGCAAAGTCCGCTCGACCTTTTCGCTTGATGAGATCTCCTGCTTTATCCACCCACTTCCTTTTCAGGCTCTCATCAGACTCATGAGACTCATCAGACACCTGGTTCTCAATATTGTCTCTAAAGTTCGTAACGAACTCCACATACTCCAAAGGGTCTCCACTGAATTTCATCAACTCTACTTTCGGTAAGGATGGCCCTTGCTTGATTGCTTCGGCAACTGCCACCCAAGGATCAGGCTGCATGCGTGACTGCGGACTAGCTTGCTGCTCAAAAGGAGGGGCTGAATAAATGTACGTTGATGCGGATTGCTGAGGAGTGTTGGCAGGATAGAACTCGGTTGCTGATGCATCTAAACCTACAGTTCGTGGACCACAAGACCATGTAGGCATTCGTGATGATTGATGCATCGACATTGGTGATGCCGCAACAGCTGTGGATGTTGCCCTTGGCAAATTAAAGCGAGGTGCATAACTGATAGGCGTGCTGGACTTAGTACAGATGCTTGGAGCCAGGGTAGTTAAACTACTAGAACTCATCTTGTGAATTGCTACTCTTCCTACATTTGGAGCAGAAGTCGTGACCGCTGACCCTGATGTTACGTAACTCGCAGTCACCAATGATGAAAGTGAAGTTTGGGCATTATCTTGTGCTGAAGATGTTTGCATTTTTCCATCGTCAACAACTGGCTGGGATTCTGAAGAGGGTGTGGCACCACCCGCAACAGGCTGTGACAAATGCCCCTTCGCAGGAGGATAATCGGCACCATGCTCCTTTTAGTAATCATTCATCCCATCCTTCGCTTCATTCTCTTCGCCACGCTCCAGCAATAAGTCAATTTCCGCCTGCTCCATCTTAGTTTTAGCACTCAACAGCTCTAATTTCCTGTTTAACTCTGCTTTACTTCTTTCTACTTCTTCTAATTTGCGTTCTAGTTCCTGCTTTTCTTTTAGGGTCTGCACTTCCAATTTAGCTTCTACCGCCACCCTTCTCTTCTCTTTAACACTGCTTCTATTTGACACACAACTTCTCTCGCTCTTGTCAGACCCATGGCTCAATCGAGATTCAGAAGGAGGGGTACCTACTCCCTTTTTCCTCCACTGATTTATGAGGATTTCTAACTGTAATTTCATTTCTCGTTCATTCTGATAACTGTCAATAATAAATTGTTTTTTCTCTTCGTCATCTTCAAAGCCGAAGTAATTATCATGACTGACAACAAAGTTACGAAATGCTTCTTCATACCTGCAAATCTCGGCTTCCACTCCACTTATCTGTGTGCTAGGGCTTAAAATCAATTCTTGTACACAATTTCGCCGTTTCCGCAGTTCTCCAAGATACCAGTTTCGCAGACGCTTCGCATGAACCGCTTTCTCGACTCGAACTTCCAATTCATCTATTCTTTTGTTCGGCTCCCTTAATCTAACAGGCCTGGAACTACTGCCTTGTTCTACCGGATCCTCGCCATAGAAACCAAATTCCACGTTTCCACTTGTTAATGATGGCCCTACTTGCTCTAATCCACCATTCCCATCACCTTGGAACGTGCGCTGAGGAGATTTCTCTGTTGACGCCGAATCGGGAACATTTTCCTTCTGTGGAGTCACGTGAGTCGCTGCTTGCTGGTGTCCACCTTTCTTAGCATTACTTTTTGATTTCTTGCTCTTCGAATTCTTGCCAGTCATTCCTTTCCTTTAACCACAGTACTGCTTGAAATCAATAACTTCGAATGATGTAGCGTCCACTCATAGCTACTTGAAACTGTACTTTAATCAGTTGTTCACTTGCTAGTTCGTTTCTAATCTGCACATAACTTGTATTCATTCCATTCACAAATTGCACGTGAAAGAGAAAGATTCGCTGAAATAACAACAACGCGACTATTACAAAGATGATATTGACCGAACAACCGAAATACTGCATACTTACAAGTCATTGTGCCTTCTAAATGGAAAGGAAAACTTGTCCTAACGAAACGACAGTGCAACTCCATAACAAAACATGTGCTTTTCGTGGGAAAGAGCGCCCGCGATATTTTGCGTGCGGTCACCGAAGACCACACCATATAACGTTTATGTTCTGTCTCTTACAACGCGCGTTTTAGAACTTTGTACACTTCTCAGCTGTCCTATACAAAGAAACAACGTGAAATCACCACAATTTGCGTCGTCTGCGCACCGAAACCGCGATGGCAAATTTTTTAAATTTCCATTTGGAACTCAACGCTTCTTTTATACGTTATGCTAAAGTTGAGGTGTGGCACCGTATGAGACGGTAAACAAATGCAGCCATTTTTTAAATTCTAATTTAAGGCAGAAATTCATTTTTAATCGAAGTTTTCCTTGGCGTTGCCGTCCTGACCGCTTAAGGTCCCTAACATCCTCTTGAATGAAACTGCCATCGACTCAATAAAGAAAAGGGATTTGAGTAAATTTTTTCCCAATTATCTCTGCCATCATTGATCCAAGCGTTGAAAGAACTCGCCGGAGTAGATATTTAGTGTAGTCGCGATGTATTTCTGGTTTTCATGCGATGTAATTGAAACCAATTCTTTTCAATTTAGCAAGATTAGATAAATCAGATTTTCGAATAATACCGGAACGTTTTTATCATAAGCATAAGCTAGTACAGTTCTGTTATTGAGCAGTTGAGAGCAGCATTCATTTTCAAACAGCCTTTTTGGAGTAGGGAGTTTATTTACCAGTGTATATAAACAAAGATACGAATATTATACTGTAAGGAAATCATATATATTTTAAAAAGTTTACAACTAGTATTAAATCTATACAATTAAGCTTGGAGATGAATCACCCTTTAACTTATTTCCTTTATTTTTTATCTTCAGTCTTCGATCAGAAGATAAAGACCAAGTATCACAAGCATTAATACAGTGTTTGCGTACTGAAATTCTGAGATTGACTCACCGAACATAAACAGAAGGCATCTACCATGGATGTAAGTTTATTTTCTTTCATCTCTTGTAGCCTTGCCTCATATTGCTTTTATTTTGTATTTGTTATTTCTGTCGTTGCCGCTAGGTTTCTTTTCAACATGCAACGTGAAGGGCCAATTAAGTCTGATGTAGCTGATACTTCACTTGCAGCCAGTTGTGGATAACTTTACACATGCTTTTTTTTTGACTGCCTGCAAGATGTTTCAGTCCTTATACAATAATCTAAGGAATTTGGTACAAAACATGTATTAGTTCAAAACTTACAATTTCTTATAACTTGTTTGCTCTTCAATGCGCCGATGTTGCCAGGAGAATTGATATCTTGATGACTCATGGGATTCAGTAAATGATTCTTTAAGAAATCTTGGCAGATTTCCCTTAGTACGCTTCTCATCTTTTTGCCAAAAAATGGAAAGTTGCACCCTTGTAGTGTTGACTCGTTGTAACACCAAGAGTCCAGAAAACGTTATTTGATTAAAATCAAGAGAAAGTAACGAGAAGAGAGGGAAAATAAAGGCGTTGGCCGGGATATGTAGATTTCACTTAAGTTATCTCTAGCTTGGAGTTAGAAGAATCGAGTTTCCTGAATAAATGTAGTTTCCTATTTCCGGAGTCCGTTTGATGTTTAAAGAACCAATCTCGTCGCTGTTCGCCGGCACTCCAATCATACTCACAGGCGATCAAGGCCTACTGAAAGAGGACGGATGCATTTCATTTTCCGTGACCAAAAGGCCATATGCTAAACGGAAAGCGACGTGTGACATGCGCAATAACATAACATTCGTTTCGGGTTAAGCGAAATGTGACTCTCGCTTCGGTGCCTATAGAGGTGTTGTGTTCCAAAGGTTTTATTTTATGAAGAATTGTTCGAGGAAAAACGGGTTCGTAACGCTTGGTTAGCTTGTAAATGTTATTATCCTGTAATATAAGCGTCATCGATTTCTGAACTTAATTATTAAGAGTTTGTCTTATATGTTAACACATGCTCAGAGTGTTTCGGCAACGGCTTTCTTTAAATAACGTGAGATTGACATATCCTAAGGCCTGGAGCAGAAAGCGTTCTTCTCTGTCCCATTATTTTATCCTGATCAGTGACAAATTGTATCGCCTACATCTTGATGGATACATAAGCATAACTTCGAATTTTAAGGATATAAGTGACCTTTTTTGTTGCAAATGCAAATCTGTAAATCACTAATCAGCAAAGTGCCATATCTTGTTTGGAAATATTATTTTACATCAGGGATTTGAAGATTTGAGGCGTTTCCAGTTGGAAAATGAAGACGAAGCCCTGGCCAAAGTACTAAAAATGTCCAAACCAGAAGACTCTCCAACTCCCTCATCTTTGGTGCAGGTATCTTTTGAATATCCAGAGTTACCAACTTTCAGCATACATTCAAGATTCTATAAGTTCTGGTCTTAACATGGTAGTGTTATGAACTACTAAAATTAGAGGTGTTTGGGAACTAATAAAGTTAAAATTGTTCTGGCTAAATTTTTGGGAACTTTTTTGGCCTGTTAGATTATCTTGGAATACTTATGCGACTCTTTGAGCCTTGGTTAGTTATGAGCTGCAAGACCATACATTTATCTTTACCCTTTGAGTGATGTGTCCTTGAACGTTGTAGTAAGGCTTAATTCTCATACGATGATCGTCATTGCCATTATTTTTTTTCCCATCTGACAGGATTTTCAAACACAAGATGATGATGAAGATCAAATATTAGCTAGAGCTGTGGCTCTTTCTTTAGAAACACCAGGTTTGTAATTTAATGTAACCGGTGGGTCAAATGCATAAGCCTTTGACCACGGATCAATTCGTCCTTTTCCCAACCCCGGTAGCGTCTCTGTATTTTTTTTTTTTTTGTTAATTTTTATTTTTAAATTACAAACACAATACTTACAATACAATATGAAACACCACTTACACTAATTACAATGCTTATTTACATTACTCTAGTTACAGTCACTAATAATTACACTACTTACAGTCACTAATAATTACACTACTTACAGCATCCAGCTCTATTAACAATACAATCGACTAATTATGCCATTACATACAAAAAGTACTATTTTCTTTTAACATTGCACAGTGACACATACCGGCGATGGCGACGCCCAGTTAATTCTCTAACAAAAATAAACTACAATAAATTAATAAACAAGGAAGAATATGAGATCTAAGTTTATGCATTGGTCTTCCATTCTTTTCCTTAAAAAAAGGGCAAACACAAAATTATATGAGAAATTCCCATCTAATTTGAAAATCGCGAAGCTTTCTGTTTCTTATAGCAATTATTTTTTCAACTTGTTTTTTAACTTTAACCTTGTGCAAAAACAATCTAATATTGGAGAGGTGTTATTTTTTCTACATTCCCAAATAGTCAATTTCCCTAAAATTATCAAATAATTTAACAGATCGTTCCTCTGAAGTAAGCCAACCATAATATCTTTTAAAGACAAAATTAAATATTCGCCACTAAGATCAAACCACCAGACTGTAAATACGTTCCAAAAAGCTTGCACAAAGGAGCAGTTAAAGAAGAGGTGGTACAGATCTTCCGTATAGGTTCCACAAGAAGAACACTTGTCCGAATCACTTAACCCTATTTTGAACAATTTATCGTTTGTAAACAAAATGAAATTCAATACTCTGTATTGAAACGACCAAACATACGTTTCGCTCGCAACAAGATAAGGAATAGAGAAAACTTCCTGCGCATTTGAAAGCTCAAAATCCGCTGTCAACTTTTTAAAGCCATTCGGGATTCTCGCTTTACTTGTTATCATCGTAGAATAAAACTGTTTACACTTTGCAGTATATGCATTAAAAGATTTAGACTTATAATCAAAATTCATAGGATCGAGATTACCCGCTGTGGGGATGGGGCAGGAGCTTTTTGATTTCATATTAATAATAGAAGATCTCAAGGCTGTCCAAGTCAGGAAATTAGTGTTAAGTCCTTTTTGCTTAAAGAATTCATAAGAACGCACATTGTCAACATCGAACTGTAAATCATTCAAATAAGTTATGCCCTTGTCAAAGTATGTTTTATAAAAAACAGGTTTATTATTAATTCGTATATCCTTATTATTCCAAATTACATTTTGAGAATAATTCACATCAGAAAAGGAGCATCTAAAATCCGCCCACCATCTAAGAAGCTGTAAGTAAAACTTACTAAGACTTAAGTCAAGATCATTTACATCATAGTTACATCTAAAAAGAAAACATCCTCCGTATTTTTTTAAGTTGTATTTGAGATAAGAAATCCAGGGCCCTTCCTTCTCATCTATGAGACGCGGAATCCAGGACAATCTTAATGCTTTAATATGTAGCTCAAGGTCTGTGAGATTCAGTCCACCATTCTCTAAAGTATTTATCACAGAAAGCCTTGTGACTTTATCAGGGCCTTTCCACAAAAATTTGTAGCTCATTTTCTCCATCTGTTTAATAATTTCGGGTGGGGTTTCTATTATTGAGGAAACATATAATAATTTTGGGATTAGGAAAGATTTAATCATTGTTACTTTGCCAAATAGGGAGAGACCTCTGAGTTTCCATAAGTTAATCATTTTTTGAACTTCATTTAATCTATCCTGGAAATTTTGTTTTATAACTTGTTCTTGATCACAGGAGAAGTGAATACCTAGGGTCTTAACACCTGTACACCACTCAAGGCCCAGAGGTGTTTCTAAAGAATTTTTGTTTTTTCCAACCCACATAGCTTTGGTTTTAGAAAGGTTCATTTTTAAGCCAGAACATTTTTCGAAGTCATTAAGGATTTGTATTACTTTTTCGACTGATTAAATATTTGCTAGAGTAGCTGTCATGTCGTCGGCGTACAACAGAGACCTAGTTTCATCTTCCCCGATTTTTATGCCTTCAATATTCTCATTTGTTCTTATAGATATCGCCATAATTTCAATGGCAATTAAAAATAAATAAGGCGACAGAGGGTCTCCCTGCCTAACACCCCTTTCTAGTTGAAAAGGAGAAGAGAAAAAAACCATTATTAAGAACACAACCTGAGAGGTTATTGTAAAACGTTTGAATCCACTTTATGAAGGAGGGTCCGAAATTAAAACACTCTAATGCTTTATAAAGAAATTCATGTTCTATGGAGTCAAAAGCTTTTTCAAAATCAATAAACAGTAAAACACCTGGTAACTGTAGTGATTCAGTATGAGCGATAATGTCTAAGATTGAACGAGCTGTTTCTCCAATAAACCTACCCTTCATAAAACCGGATTGATTTGCATGGATTACAGAGGGAAGAACATTTTTTATTCTATTTGCGATGACCTTAGTTGCGATTTTTGAGTCGACATTAATCAACGAGATTGGTCTCCAATTTTCCAAAAACATCCTGTCCCTTCCTTTTTTGTCGATCAAGGTGATGATCGCCTGCTTTTGAGAATTTGACATTTGCCCTAGCTCAAAACAATGATTAAAAACTTCAGTCATTAATTCACCAACAGAATTCCAGAAAATTTTATAAAATTCAAAAGGAATTCCATCATTTCCAGGCGTCTTCCCCGTGTCAAATGTATCAAGTGCTTTAACACATTCCTCTATGGTTATTTGACCCTCGCAGCTTAATCTTTCCTCTTGCGATAGTCGTGGAATATTCGAATTTCCAAGAAAGTGATGTAATGAGTCAGATTGGTCTACCTTCAATTTGTTGCTATATAGGTACTTGTAATACTCCGTAGCGGAATCCAATATTTTTTGATAGTTTTTAGTAATGACTCCACTTAAACAGAGCTTTCTTATGTGTTTCCTGGTGTAATTTCTCTTTTCTAAACTCAAAAAATATTTAGTACTCTTTTCGCCGTATTCATGCCACCTCGCCCTGGCACGCACAATTAATCCATTAGCCTTTTCCTCATAAAAACTTTCCAGTCCGCTTTGCATTCATCAAGAATTTTTTCGACCTCCTCACAGGGGGCCTGCTGAAACTGTGCTTGAGCAATTTGCAATTTTCTTTGCAGCATTTCTTCTCTCTCCCTTTTGGTCTTAGCTACTTCTTTTGAGTAATTTATGCAAAAGAGTCTGACTTTATATTTAATCCAATCCCAAGCAACTCTCACATCTGAAAATTCCTCTCCCTCTTTTTTCCATTGGTCTAGCTTTTCTTTCATCTTTTGAACAAAATTTTCATCAGTCAATAAGGAAGTATTCATTTTCCAAAACCCCGGGCCTCGCTGACATTCTTCGATTTCCTGTAGATGTAAGAAAATTGCTGAGTGATCAGACCTTATTGCTGCAATGATGTTGACATCTTTAATCAAGTCCTGAAGTGAATTTGAGATGAGCCAATAATCTAATCTACAAAAAATAAATGGAGATTTTTGGGACCATGTAAAGCTTTTTGCTTGGGGATTTTTTACACGCCCTACATCATGCAAATTAAATGTTGTTTGTATTTCGTCAATGCGTTCAACAACTTTCTTCCTTAATACCAGTATCCCACCTTTTTTGTCCAGTAGCGGATTAATGGGACAATTGAAGTCACCACCTATTATTATTTTATCTTCATAAGCGAGACCTTCTTTCCTTAGAACGTCAATTAAATGATCATAGAATTGCACAGCTTGATTATCATTGTTTGGACCGTAAACATTCACTAAAAACTATTTTTCATCATTGATTTGAACTTCAATACTAATATATCTCCCATTGGGCTCAATGACTTTTTTAATTATCTTGCAATCAAACCCCTTTCGAAAGAGTATTGCAACACCCCTTGAACCACTACTCCCATGAGCGAGCTCCAGAGGGGCACCCCATTCAGCTTTCCATTGTTTCTCATTGTTTCCAGTTGAATGCGTTTCTTGAAGAAAAATAATATTTGCATTTTGTTTTCTGCACCATGCAAAAATTGCGCGTCGTTTCTTAAAATTGCTCAAGCCTCTAACATTTAATGAAAGCATTCTAAAATCACTCATTTCTGCTATGATTTTTCTTTTTGGTACGGAAAAAAAACCTGCAAGACCATTTGCTTTATAACACACCTTTGAATAATTATTTGCATCGCTCTACACAAAGAAACGAAAACACTGACACAAAAATATAAACACATAGTAAATAATTTAGCTTGGAATATAATATCAAATTTCAAATTTTCATCTTTCCTCCTGAAGGAGTGTATCATCCTTTCTCTCCCCTTCAGCCGCACTCACTCCAAACCGATAAATATTAACTTAATAACATGATTGACAGTAATTATGGCTTCCTATAAATGTATTTTATCATTTGTCAAAAAAAAAAAGATTAACAAAGAGCGGCCTTCGAATTCGTGAAATTAAATGAAGAGCTAGATAATTCATCTTAAAATATTGTAGACAGTGCTAGAGCAAAGATAGTATATTTGATAGTAAAGCAATACGCGATCAAGTCCAGTAGTCGGTTTAGCTGGTGTTGGCATTTTCAGCTTGCAGGTAGAAGGACTTAAGTTTTGACTCACCATTCAATTTAAAAATGATCCTGGCCGGTACGCTCCAAGGAATATAGGCTAATTGGACATCTTCTCGACTACGGATTTCATTCAGGTGCCTCTCTTTAAGCTTTTTGCGCTGCTCCCTCACAGATTTTGATACGTCGTCTGAAATGTATAGATTTGCTTCATGGAAAGGATTCTCTCTTAACTTAGAGGCCGCATTACGCAAGATGTATTCCTTGGCGGTATATTTTAAAAAAATATACGTGAACTGGCCTAGGTAGAGTTGCACCACTTGTAGGACTTTGCCTTTGTTTGATATTTGTGCGGTGGGCCCGCATTACTTCTATCTCCTCTAGGCCCATGTGTTCCGTCAAGATCGAAGTTACAAGCGCTAAGCAGGACGAGTCTTTTTCGGCACCTTCTGGAATGTTCCAAATAACAATATTATTTCTCTTAGAACGATTCTCCATTTCTTCTAATTTCTTCTCAAGTAGTTCCACTTGTACTAAATCAGCTTTCTTCTGCAAGGTTTGTTTCACTGCTTCCATTTCTTGATACATCCCTTCTAAACCTGCGGATAATTCGCTCGTTGTAGTTTCAAGCGTTGTCAGCTTCGTTAAGATAGTATCATGGCGACTTTGGCTCGAAGCTTCCAACTTATCGATTTTTTCTGCAAGACTTTTCACCAGGCGACTCAGCTCCGCAACGTTTTCCGCCGACATGGTAGACTGAACTTTAAGCTTCTTTCCTGAGCGCAGAATACTCATACTAAAAACTTTGAAGCCATTTTAGATACTTTTCGAGCAGAGCGCGGAACGGCACGTCTTACTACCTCGAAGCCATGACCAGAAGTCTTTGTATTTATTATTGCAACAAAAATGTATACTCATAAAAGTAACCTTTACACATGGGTGCCATAAAGAGCAACCTAAAGACGCATTTCATATTCTTGTTCAGAAGTGATCAACAGGGTAATTTAATATTATTAACTGAGTTAATAACGTAAATTGGCCATCGTAAATAGTTTCAACGCTGATGTTTCGAGTGTTGGCTCTTTGTCAAAGCAGATGGACAAAGGGCTAACACTCGAAACATCAGTTTTTTAACTCTTAACGGTGGCCAATTTACGTTATCATTTTAGCTGATAACACTAAATTACCCTGTTATACTCTCTAACCAACGCAGCACCACAGTTTCTTTAGAAACTTCCCTCCTTTATTCAGATGTGATTAGCCATGTTCATCTCTAATGCTCAAGTAATTTCTCAAATGGAAAAAAAAGAAATGACAGTCCTTCTATTTAGACCAGTCATTTACTCACTAAGTCAATTTTAAACTTTAAAAAAACGAAATCCTTTTTTTCCTTTATATTCGTTTAAGGCCCTTCACCTAGATATTTTTACAATGACAAGAATGAATAAACGTCAACCAGGAAACCACTTAAATACCTCCTTCGTCATTTTTAGCTGTCATAACATTTCAAAAGTTTTTTGTTTTGCTTTGTTTTTGCCTTCTTCTTCTTCTTTCTCTTCCTTTCTTGATGCTTGCTGATTCGTTTCCTTGGGTTTGTTGTCTTTCTGTCTTCTTACGTATGTCGAGTGCATGTCTCGCCCCAATTGAATATTCAGGAAATTAGGGGGAAATGCTAGAAATATTTCATACTTCGTTTTTATTACTATTTCACACTCGGTTTGGATCCGTTCAATCCGATGGCTTTAACGCTTCATCCGCTGAACTTCTACTTGCTGACGTCAATTGGTTCGATCCTTCGGTACGCACTATAGAGAACACACAATCTGCTTCTCCCCTTTGTTTGCCAAACAACTACCACTGGAATGCGCATGCGGGAAGGACGACAAAGACAGGCGATCAGAGGAGTTCTCTAAGAGTGGTCGAGGAAGGACTTGAACAACTCAGGAGAGTTAAAGGCAAGCTATAGTCGGCTACAATATTGATATTGAGGATGTTATCTAATTCTCAAATTTCGCTGACCTAAATGTAGTTCATACAAAGAAGTTGCTAACTCAAAATGGAAAAATTTTTCATTTCGTGACCTAAAATGAAAACGATGCGCAATTTAAGCTCCGGTCTGATTTGAATTAAATTAGAATTGCTTCAATTAATTAGGCGAAACAATAAAGAAAACCTACAAGTGATTATAGCAAAACTTATTCTTCATTTAAATCAATCATTGTGTTAACTGCGAATTTCTTTGTATCATTCTTCAACAGGCCCAGTGTGCGTGGTATCCATCGCTGGTCCTTACAGAAAGGGGAAGTCCTATATATTAAGCCAAGCTTTTGACCAACCAGACGTTTTTCCTCTTGGACATAAAATGGAGGCTGAGACTATGGGAATCTGGATATGGATTGTTCCAGAAAAATTCAAGGTTTGTTTATTCATTGAGTTTGGCAGTATCTTATAAGATAAAAGTAACCTTGCACTAACCGCTTTTAATTAATGATGTCTACCCAAATGTTGGGGTAGACACGGTAGAAATCCGGTCGGAAGGTATGGATCGAGACCTGGCTGGGTCGTTTTGCCGTTTTCTGAGGCAAGAAACTTTAGTCTCACAGTGCTTCCCTCCATTCAGAAGTTTAATGGCCCGGTACCGGCGAACTGCTGGGGAAGCCTGACGAAATGTGAATGGGATATCACTGTTATGCATGTATTAGGTAACCCGTATTGGGTGAGTGGCAAATAAACCCGGTCGCGTCGTGCTGCAGAAACCGCGGGATAAACTCCAACTGAATGGGCCACTAACCTCAAGTCCAGAGTTTACCTATTAACTTTATAAAATTTGTTCAATCGATATTGCATTTAGAATTCCAATGGACAAGAATTCACAGTGGTGTTACTGGACTCTGAAGGGATTGACGCCACAAATAGTGAAAACACCGATGACCATCAGATCTTCACTTTAACAGTCTTGTTAGCGTCCGTGTTGATATACAATTCGCAAGGTGTTCCGACACGAAGTGATGTAGAGAAACTGGAATATCCTTGACAACTCTCCATTAGAATCAGAACTACAGTTAGTAGGATTGTCTGCATAAAAAAAGCCGGCAAATTAATTTCAGTTGTTGTTGAAAGCTCTGTAACAAGACAAAATATTTTGCTCCGTGTTCAAACAAAAGATAGAAAAACGGTTGTGCACAATATCTTTTTGTTTTTTTTTTACTTTTTACACACTGGATTCTGATAAATAAACAGGGAGCTTTTATAGGTCATTGAGCTCAAAATAATGTGGGTATCAGTTTTGGTTGACATATATACCATAGAGATGCTTTTATACTCCTTGACGGTTTGCAGCTACATAGTAAAACTTTCCAAAAGAATTCAGACGCGATCCACCGTCTCTGGTGCGTATAGTCCATCGCAAAACAGCGAGTTTTTCCATAAAACATTTCCCTATTTCATCTGGCTGCTTAGAGATGTAACACAGTCTATACCAGATGACTGCGAGAACATCAAAGAATATTTCTTAAAAAAGGTAATCCTTGTCGTTCTACTAGTTTTGGGAGGCATACGACTGTTAATGACTCATGTTTTTGACGGTGTGTAAGAGGTAGCTTAATCCATCCTCAATCAACGGCCATTAGGGAAGAAAGCTCTTTTCATTAGTTTGTATCGGAAAAGTCGAAACCATCCAGAGGGAGGCATAGTTTCTGCTTGTAAAAGATGTGTTTGATAACGCTCATCCTTGTTAAAAGAACATAGTTATCCGCAGAGGCTAATCTCATTAAATACGATATATCTCTACTCTCCCTGAGAGAACAATATCTTGCTTAGAGTAGATCTTCAAAATTCAAATCATATGAGGTTCACAATATATGTTAAAGGGTACGTGCCATCTCGATATTTCGGTTATATAGAAACTTAAGGATCATGGGCTTCTCATGCTTAACGTCAGGTTTTTAAAGGACACGTTTCATCAGATGCGGATAATAAAACCGAGGAAGGAGTAGCTGGGAGCATCTTACGTTTCTTTCCTGGCTTCGATGCCTTTATGTTGCCACCTCCAGCAGTTGATCCTGAGACAATGAAAAGTTTAAACCAGACAAAAAGAAAAGTGAATCCTTCGTTCTGGTGTGGCTTGGAGAGGTTTAAAAGCTTATTGAGGGACACTTTATCCCCTAAACGCAGCTTCAATGATGCAGAGTTCGTCACAGGCGAAGGTAGACTTGCTTTTTTTTTAACTATCGCTTTAGATATCTACTATGAATGAGATTATTTTAAATGCAATGGCGACTTCTAACTGTGCACACGCACGATCAGCGATTCTTGCCTTCCTAGTATGAACACGTGAGAAAGAAAAATTTCGGATACACGAAGGAATATTCAAACTATCTACCTTTTTTCAAAATTGACTTGATCCGGTTCCTTTGAAGCAAATGCAAGAATGTAGCCTGGAAAAGGAATCGTTCATCTGAACAATGCTGCATTCGAATCAGAGTGATCAACGCCCAGAGAAAAAATTGATAGCAGTAATTATGATGTTGACAATGATGAAATAATAATAATAATAATAATAATAATTATGATATTAATAATAGTCATCATAATAGTAATAATAATTGGGATGTGGCAATTTGGTTATACAAAACGGAATACTTCAATAAAATTTCATTTTAGGTCTCGCAGCTATGGTTCAGCTCTACGTCGACGCAATAAATGCTCCTGATGCTATTCCGAATGTTCAAAGCGCATGGGAGACGTTTGTCGAAGGCAAATGCGCTGAAGCAAAACAGTCTACTCTGCAAATGTATGATGCACTTATGACGGCCCGATTATCGGATGCGTTACCTCGCAGAAATAATGATATTCGTATGTGCCATAACGATGCTCTTGAGCAATGCGAGGATCAGTTGATGATGGAACTTGCTGGAATTTCTACAAATTCAGTTGAAATGACAACTAGAGAGTTTCAGGCGAGTCGCAAAAAGTGTTTGTTTTAGAGTTTTTTCACTATCCTGATTTCTTCTTGGTTCATTGTATCTTTTGAAAAAAGTGAATTCCGCTGACCATTGTGTAAGCCAAATTTTCAATCATGGTTCATACATAGAAGAAAGTTTGTGTAACATTTCTGCCATATCACAGAGTTCATACAGTTGGATTGCGGACAGTGACATCTCAGTCAGTCGAGCCTGAGAATAGATGATAAGTAGTTCTGTATTTAGTAGAATTACACCTCAGTGTCCGCCTACTACTTAAAATTATTCTCAAAGACAGCCCGGAGACCGTGGATTGAAGTGATTATTTTTGCTCCTAAGAACCTCTACTTTTACCTTTAATTTCAAACTTTATTATAATTACCGAGTGAATTTGCGGGATTTTCAAACCAAGCTAGCGTTTTTAACGCTGTGTAATAGACTGATATGAGGTCCGCTTCTATCCGGACCGGGCCCAAGGGAATCTTATGTCTGGCAAAAGAGCCTGAAAAGTACCCTTAAAATACCTTCATTATGAATCATTTCGTTTAAACAACGTTTTTTATTTCCACAAACAGTTATCAGTCGAAGCAAAACTGCTCTCTTGGCTGACTAAAAACGAAGAGCTGACGAGAAAATCCTGCGAAATTCTCTTACGAGACCTAAAAAAGAATCATTTGGACCCTGTATTTGAGAAACTTTTGGGTGAGGAACGAGACAAAATATCATTTGAAGACATAATTGGTGGATATCAGAGAGTTAAGGACGATTTCCATCAGTATGCAGAGGGAGCTGAAGACGTTATCGCCGCTGTATTTTTGGAGCTTCATAAAGTAAGGAACACTAAAGTTGTGATTCATTTAACTTTCAATGTCATTATCAAAGAAGTAACCGAGGCTTATAAGAACTGTGAAGTATTGTGACAGTTTACATGAATTGTTACTCGCTCGTATTTACCAGGATATGACAACATGTTCATTCTTTGAAATGATTCGTAAGCATTTCATTAAACCAACGACGTCATAACGTAACAAAGCAAAGCAGAGCTCTTATCTAGGTGCGTAGAGATCCAATTGGGAACACCATAATTATGAACAATGTCACAATACGCCAGTTTTAAGACAATTGGTTCATGCTTAGCGTGCGTATATCTAGTTCTGGATGCACGTGGGAAGTTTGGATAGCACTAGAGAAGCGAGAGTTTTTCAAGGGGAAGCCGAAAGCAACCCGAGCTGTTGAGTAAATAAAAGTAAATACTCAAGCGCGGGAAAAAACGGGAATGATCAACAAACGTATTCGAGATAAACGATCACCCTCTCTAGAGACTTCAACTTCCGTGGAATAACGCTCTACCTTATGGGTGTTATTTTATAATTCAATGCTAAAAAATAACAAGAAATGCTGATATGCTTTCTAAAGGAAAATAGGGAACTCCCACTATTGAAGATCGACGATCAGCCTCTAGAGCTTGTCATCTCTCATAAAGGGATAGGTTTCTAACGAAACTGTGGTACTGCGTCGGCGGGAAATTATAGTAGTGTAATTTAGTATTATCAATTGAGTTGATAACGTAAATTGGCCACCGTAAAGATTTAAAAGCTGACGTTTCGAGCGTTGGCCCTTCGTCAGAGGGAATGGCGAAGGGCTAGCCCGCTTAACGTCAGCTTTTTAACTCTTTATGGTGGAAAATTTACGTTATCAACTCAATTTCTCGTAAAGTACTTCGACTAGAGATTCAGAATAACTTAAAGTGGAACAACCGTGTTGATGCTACAGTTACCATAGCTACTAAACGTTTCCAAATACTCCTTGTATTGAGTGGAGTGGGCGTTGAGGGTAAAACTTAGTCACAATTTACTTATCCTTGATACGTTCTGCACTTAAATAGGCACCACGCCCTTCCCTCTTGCTTCTCTGTAGAACGTAAACAGAAACGCACCTTCAAAGTCATTGTACCTGCACTTTCACACAGAGAAGCTCTCCAATATCTAAAACTACCTAGATCAGATAGAAGACGAAGTGAACTTTGTTTGATTACACTCCCAAAGATACAAAGAGGGGGCCCATTCTTCAAACAACCCCCTAAAGTGAGGGCGTCTGCGCCGTTAACCAAACAAGAAACGTTAAAGAACTTTACAATATCAAAGCATAGAGAAAGATTACGTCGTAATTTCTTTCCCAGTGCAATTTTATCGTTTAATAATCAATAGTATACTAAATAAATTGATTATAATACCATGTTATAAATTTTATTTTTAAAATTACTTCCAGTTTTAAAACTCAATGTTGACGAAAACACTATTATTATTGTTATTATTTTTATTATTATTATCTAAGCTTAGTTCTGCTTGCAGTTTGAATCATCAATAATTGGAAAATATCAGTGGTTTAAAACGCTTGCAATGCTTTGCACATATCTGAAATCATTTGGATAAAGATGCGGTTTTGGTCACTTAAAAAGTGAAAATATATTCATGTGAATTAGAGAAATAGTCCAGGAAATAAACATTGCTTAATCTCGTCTCAGGATCTGCTGAAGGAAAAGGAGCAATATCTGGGGATACTGGCACAATTAAAAGACTTTGACGAGGAGCGGAGCCGAGAATTGGCTGCCAGGGCATATCAAGAACAGGAGAGAAAAAAGCTAGAGGTAAGAATGAAGCCAGAAATGCTTGTACAAGTCAATGCGTCTATCATCTACAAGCCCTAACGTCCAGGAAATAGGTCCAAAATTTTCCCTTTGTGATTAGGAGATCTTTGATCCACCTGATTGTCAAAGCAGAGCATGCTTTAGTAAACGGTTCAGAAAAGTTTTATTCCTAGAAAGAGTTATTTTTCTCTTCACAGGAACAGCAGGCACGTCTTCAACAAGAAAATCTTGAACAGAAGAAACAGGTAAAAATAATAGGTATCTTTTTTTTTTTTAAGATGTTAAAAAAAAAAAAAAATTCATTTTAGGTCTCGCAGCTATGGTTCAGCTCTACGTCGACGCAATAAATGCTCCTGATGCTATTCCGAATGTTCAAAGCGCATGGGAGACGTTTGTCGAAGGCAAATGCGCTAAAACAAAACAGTCTACTCTGCAAATGTATGATGCACCTATGACGGCCCGATTATCGGATGCGTTACCTCGCAGAAATAATGATATTCGTATGTGCCATAACAATAACAAAAATTTAGGAGAGATAAAAAAGGAACATCAGAGGAGAGAAAGATTCCGGATAGAATTTTAACATATCATTGTAAGCACTGTCACCTGTTGTTGAGAAGAGTTTTTCTGATCTTATTTTTCTCTACTCTTGTTTTGTGATCAGATGGAAATGTTGATTAGAAATCTTGATGAAGAAAAGAGACGCTTTGCTGACCAAATGAAAGGCGAACGCCAGGCGCATCAAGATCAAATCCAAAATATGATGGAAGCAAGTATGAGACAAGCCCAAGAGGAACGCCAGGCATTCATGAGGGAAAACGAAGCTTTACAAGAAAGGTTCCTGGCATTCCAAGAACGCAACGAAGAAAACATGAAAATGGTTCAAAATATGTCTGATCGAGCCGCCCAGCAACAGAAAGAAAGAGAGGCTCTTCGTCAAAAGATGAAGGATCAAGCTGATCAAGACAAGGACGATTTAGTTAAAGCGTTGAATGAAAAACACGATGAAGAAATGAAGGCTCTACGGGATGAATTGAACACAAAGTCAAATGAGATGCCTGAGCAAGTTCCACAGGATAAATTGAAGAGTGGTGAAACAGCTGAATTGATTGATAGACGAACCAGAGAAGCAGAAGAGCGGCAAAGAAACATAGCAAAGACTCGAGAGAGACAACAAGAAGTAGAAAAACCAGGATTTTGGAAGAAAGCGCTTAAAGGTGTAGGGAAAATTGTGCCTTTGGTTGGTACAGCTGTTTCTGCGATTGTACCGACTATAGCACCGATTGCTGCACCAGTTGCTGCCGCCGTCGGTGCTGTGTGTCATTTTGTTTCTGATCACGTTTGCAGTATAATGTAATCAGTTGTGTATGTAGCTCGCCTTGATAGCAAAAAATGCAAGGTTAGCTTAATTCCGTGAACGCAATTTCACTACGGACCTCGGAGGTACTGATATTAAGTATTTCTATCTGCTGAATGAAACCAAAACGTCAATGTAGATAACAAGAGAGTTTTCTGATTGAAACCAGCGTGTAAAATTCGTTTGCGCATTTTGCGTGGGTTTTTTCTCCCATTATTGCTGATATTTTATGTCTTAGGAAAGATGGCAAGTTTTGATCTCGTTAGTGAAATAGAGATATGTTTTTCGCTTTGTCACGAGCGTGGGACAAAGGAACAATTCTGAGTCTCCATTAGGAATCAAACCTCAGACCTTCACTTCCAAGCTCCGATGCTCTACCCCTGAGCTAATTAGACCACGATGAGAAAGGCCATTACTAGGCCTTTTTAGGCTCATATGAGATATGCCTCCTCCATACTGCAAGGATAAGCAATGACGGAAGCTTAATGTATGGGTTATTATAACAGAATGGGGTAGATGGAAAGAATTTAGAATTTTTTCCTTTGAAGCACGCTCGTGACAAGGCGACACATCCCTCTCGTTCATTTCTTGTTTCATCACAGCACTACAGCAATTATATATATTTTTTCTCCGATGGCTTACTCTTGCTTCGGATTTTGGTTGGTTTTCAATTTTCTACCCAACTCAGATTGCTCTTTAGTGGTAATTTTTAGGCGACGTCTAAATGGCTTTGATATAAAGTTGCAGTATAAGATGCAATTTCCACTGCTCGCACACAGTGCGGACCTAAGACCACTGTCTTGTGTGATTAGGGTTAATGTCCATTATAGCAAGAGAACAGTAGGGTATGGTGCATTAATCATTCAGCACTCTTCATGTGACATTTAGAGATCGCAATGACAGAAATTTAACACAACTCGTAGTTATATTAAAACGAAGTCGTTACTAAAGGTACTGCCTTTTTTATTTTTTCCCGAAAAAGTTCATATCTGCCACAATTTGCCACAAACCAGTCGCTCTCGAGGTAGTAACAGACCGTTGCGTGACACCCTTAAGAGGCCGTGACTGTAAATATCGAGAATCGTTGGCCAGGCTAAAAAAATCGAAAATTCTGATAATTTGCCTGGAAAACCCTTTTAGAGAGATACATTCAAAAATATTATTTTAAAGGTTGAAAAATCAAATGTGTCCGAGGAAATGGGGAAAAACGAAAATTCGGGTTTTTACCTTATTAATTATGCAAAAAATATAGTAAAATTAACCAACTTTAGTGTGCGAGTACTGAAGGAGGATGTTTGGTAAGAAATCGGGGGTGTTTTTACTTCAAAGTATAATTCACTTGATTTTTATTTGTGGCATTTTAAGGAGCTTTGGTTTAATTTTAAAATTCACATGATTTTTTAACAAAGTGCTGTCAAACGCTTGTTGAAAAAAGCGAAAAATCGAGCACCTTCAAGCCTTCAAAACGCGTCTTGGTATGTATGACATCATGTCAAACTACATGCTGGCACAAAGTTTGGTCCGTATAGTAACACAATATGAAATAAAAAATCTGGGTAATTCAGAAATGTGCCGGCAAAACATAAAGGTTTGCGACGCACTGTGGCCAGAGGCCACGAGTTTGCATGATGCAAATCAGTTGTAGAAATCGTACCGCCTAACGGTTCTGGTTTAGGAAAGGCTCTTTTGACGGCTACAACATGAAATTTACAAGAATAATAACCAGCATTTAATAGCGTTTAATTCGTTTTTTAAGCCAATGAGTTTTTTGTTTCATTTCTCGTAACTGTCTTGACGAAAAGCAAAATGTTTCAATTGCGTGACAATTGTCACGTTGGATCAAAGGTTAAGTTGCCGAGTAAAGCGGACACAATCCTTTTTTCGTCAAAACTCCATTCTAAAGCATCCAGTCCTATATATCTCGTTTTATATTACTGGTATAAATTCTTTTATGAGTCTATATCGAACAACATCCAGCCGGCCTGATCCTGTCTGACTGCCAAGTGCGGTTCGAAGGGGACTTTTTCATTTCAGGTTTGCGCCTCTAATACGGGGACTGCGGAGCTATGGGGTTGACTGGGCTGTAGCCCCACCAAGAACAATTTGTTATCATTATTACTTATTTAATCTTTGAATTAAAAATTTGACATATTTTTCTTTGGATTGAAACGCGTTCCCGGTGATTTCAGAAGCTCTAGATTTCAAAATTTGGCGGGGGAGCATACCCCAGGATACCCTGTCAGCAGTCTTTCTGTACTAAGAAAGGCGTACTAAGAAACAGACAAAAGGAGGCCCTCCTCGGAGGGGAGGCCCCAGGGCCCTCATAGATAATTATAAGTTGGTGCCAATGAGCTCACACTACGTGGGAACTGCAATAGCTCCTCCGATCCAAAATATGCTCCACGGCCCCCGTTTTATATCAAAGTTCATATAAAACTCAATTTTTTGAAGCAATTTTTTGCCATTTGCCTTTTAAACTTCACTGCAAGAGCAGCATCTAACAAGGTCTTCGAGCAGAGCGACGTGAGATGTCTTTTTTCTATGATCAACCCCAGGTGGTAGTGCAAGATTGAAACTCTCGCATAGGAGTTTTAAGACTGCGAGTTCGAGATTTTTGATTGTGTTATTCTCGACCATGGAACAGTTGTACTGTTGGTAATGAATAGAATGAGTTACATTTAACTACTCAAAAATAGACTCCTTAGCATTTGACAAATTAAATTCTTCCTCCATAGCAACGAGATCTTGCTCAGTTACAACTTGTGCGCAGGGAGCTGTCTGCTGTTTCACTTTTGCTGCCATTCTGGAAAAAAAT